CTAGAGATGGCAGGAAGGATGTATGAATTGCTGTGGATGATGCCTTTGATACGAGGACAAATGTCCAGGGTCTAAGACTGCAATGCATGAAAGCTGGATAGACCAATGGTAACTCAGACTATATGCCGGTCCCAATCTGCTGCTTTTCAGCAGAAATGTATATGAATCTGTGGTTCTTTTCTTCCCCTAACTGCCACAAAAGCATGTCAACTATATGCTTCCCCTGTACAACTGGTTATATTAGAGAAGTACAGGTAGGGAAAGAGGAAATCTGAGAGATTAAGCATAGGGCCTAAAGAGCTTGAGCATTTGCCCAAAACGATGGCTACATCATTCTACTGGACTCAGTTTATTTGGTTATACTAAGATTTACACACTTCCCATTTTTCAGATGCAGTTGGTTTGTGAGGAAAGTCAGATGAATGATAGAACTTTTTTAAAAAAACTAATTTCTTTGAGTATCTGAGGACAATACAATGAGTACTTCTGTAATCCTGTTATATTGTACATTAAAGTAATAAGGAAATAGTGTCCGAAAAGCCATTTAGCAAGAAAATTTTTTATTGATAGAAAAGCAAAACAAAATTTTCATGAATTGTAATATCTGTTTTATTATGTTTCTCAGATATACTCATGTTCAAAAATCAGTTTTTCTGTTGTTGTTCTTGTTGTCATCATTATTGTTAATCTCTCTATAAAAACAACCCAATGAAATCACAAGTCCCTGCCTCAGATAGGACCACCTTGATAAGACATTGTCCCCGATTAAAGTTAATTTAACTCTTATTCTTAGCTAAGCATTGCTGCATGGCACCAATTGTATTCTTAGGTTGGTGACATTAGTAAGTATTGATATCAAGCCATCAAAGTTGTTTCTCAAATGTTACCAAACAAATCAAAAACCAAATCAGAATCAGAGTAAATCATTATTTAATCCAATGATTAAATACACCTCTAGAGAGAGGTCAGTTCTTTCTCATGTGAGCCAATTATCTACAAGCCACAATCATTAGTTCCAACAAAGGATGGCCCAGGTAAGTGGCTTTTCAGTTTCAAATTCAAAGTTCAGATTCATGTGGGAGTGGACCTGAGGAGTTTGGCCAGATTAGATTAAAGTTCCTGGTTCTAATTTAACCTGCAACTTTCACATAATATCAGCTGGCAATTGCTCAACTGTCACCCACAGGAATGGATTTAAAGCATAAGTCTGCACAATGGAAAAACTGGAATTTTAAACATTATCTAATTAATTCAAGTGATATAGATAGAAACAATGGAAAAGTCAGATGCCAAAGTTTGTAAAACTAATTTGTCCATATTTTCCAGAAACTACTTATCAAACTAAACATATAATGGTCATATTTTTACTTTACCTTTAGCTATGTAAATATGTTTTATTTCCACACAACATACGGATTGAAAATAAAAAAAAAATGAGCAACAATCCAGGTTTGCAGTCTAGGTAGTCCTAAACCTCTTCTAGATATTTTTGCTTTCCATCTAGATATTTATACCAATAGATACGGTCATAAATTCATTATCATCACTACATTTGAGTCACTACCTACAAAAGGAAGCTTATCTAATTACCAATTCCCGAACCCACCAGGACTCTCCCCTTTCATTAAATAAAGAGAAAGTCATTCAGATTTGACCCCAGAGAAATAAGTACATGCATATACCTGACTTCTCAGTATCCTCTCTGGATAAGAGGATGGAACAACTATTTGGTTTCCATCTCATTCTTGTAATGGCAGAAAAGAGAATACAAAAAGTCTATTGTAAATTTGTACAAAATGTATGCATATATAAATACATATCTATGGGTGTATATAAATTCTAAAGACGATTATATTCATCTACATCTTTAAGATTCAGAGTCCCATACAGTTGACATAATGGTATTCTCTCTCCAATTTTCTCATTTTTAAAAATAATAAGAATCAAGCATGCCACCTTATTAATACTGAATAGCAAGTGCAGAAGTTGAGCTATAGCAATTTATAGCAAAGGGATTTGAAGCAATTAGTTTGACGGGACATCAGTGAATAAAATCTTTAAAATAAATTTAGCTTTTTCCAGGTTGCCATTTGTTTCATATACATGAAATCCAAAATGCCCTCTTGGTAGCATCCCAAACTCCTTAGGCTGTCAATTGAGCTCTATAAGAAGCAATGCTTTAAACAGAGTCTGTGCAAATTGCTTGGATATGTGCTTCTTGCAATAATTTGGTAGGATGGCATTGCTAGAATTTCATGTAATTCTCTCTCTCATAAAGAGTCTCAGGTGATAACACCAGAAGCTTAGGGTTCTGAGTATATTAAACTCAGCATGAAATTTGACTCACAAACTACATTATTTTTACACAAAGCAGTATTAAAAATATTAAGCCATAGTCGATTAATGGAGAAAGTCACACATATTTAAAAGTGCACAATAAAACATGTTATAGATGTGTGCCCATATTTAGAGGTATCAGGTATTTTTAAAAACAATACATATAATGTTTTTATTTCTTTTGTTTCTTCCATTCCTTTGGGGGGAAATTACATAAGACAATTTCATAATTACCCCTAGAGTGCACAGGTTGCTCCTTGGAGGGGGATTATTATTGCATGCCTTGAATGCACTATGATTCATAAGGCAAGAATGTATGAGTGGCTTCAGCACCAAGGAAATGGAATCATCATCCAGCATTGCTCACAACAGAACATCTTATTGCTTTAATAAAATGGGGAATTATTCACTGTAAGAAGTGCACCAAATAAGGGGAGAAAGTAATATTTATGCAGTTAATGTAGCTCTTTGGAAATGAAGAAACTCCTTTCTGAGTCCCTGATTCTACTCAAATTTCAAGTCCAAAAGTCTTTCTATAATAAGGTATTAAAGAGCTACAGCCAGATGAGGGTGATCTACAAAAATTAATGGACTTTCTTCTTCACAGTGCCTTAGTCATTCTGATATACAATGTGTAACTCTGATGCACTAAAGGATTCCCTAGTGGCCTGAGGGAGTTAATGCACTCTTTCACCTATTACTAGGAAGTGACTAAGGCACTGGGGAGAATCTGGTTCATTGTTTAATATATTGTACCCAAAGATTATACCTGGTCTTCCTAATATTATCACATGGCATGCTTAAACAATGATCCTCTGTGCTTCAGGAAAGGACTCAAGTGAATATCTAATGGGTGATTAGAATTAAACTTGTTAAATTATTTTTATAAAAGATGCAGACTGAGCTTGGGCAATTTAATGGATGACTTAAAACCTCAGAGGCAACATTTTCTCTGGGAAAAAGCACATATGCCTGGAATCAAGACAAAGGCCCTAGAACTACTGGTTACTTGGGAGAGGGATGTACTTAGTGGCACCGTTGCCTTACTCCCTGCAGGTTAGTAAGGGCTCTCTTAGTTGATCTTTATGTTGAACATTCTCATTCATATATTTTCCAAATGTCTGAATAGCTGTTAAGAATTTGTTTCCAAGAAAAGATGCCACTGCATATAATTAAAACTGTAATATGCTTCTGGTTCCCACTATCATCAATCCAAGGGAAACGAAGTGGTAAATAACCATAGGTGGACTCCCTTTCTAGCATACTTGCCTGGCATTAGAAGAGAGAAGAAAAGAAATTGATCTTCTTCTCTCACTTTCTTTTTTATTCTATCTTTCTTCATGTATTCATTGAAGCTGGGTGAGCCAGACTCACAGAGAAAGGGAATCCTTTCTTTCCCATGTCTCAGATGCAAGCACAGATATCTAAGTAAACAAGTTGCATTTTTATCCTACAAGTAGTTATGGGTTTAACTTCTCTTGAAATTTGCATGTCCTGTCACCCAAATTGCCCAACATCCCCACCAGTCTCACCTCCAGACACAGACAGTGCAAGCAAATAAGCACACTACTGCCTCCAGGTGGTAATTGCATGCAGGGAGGACTACAAGCACTGTTTAAATATTAACCATGTTTAATAGATGGCATTTCTGCACATCCATTATTTGTTTGTTTTCTCTTGTGGTTGTTTCTGTTATTCACAAAAGAAAAAAAGAAAACATATGTGTTATTTTTTTTTATAACAGTCTACTACAGAGTAAGATACAAAAGAACACTTCTGGAAACAGCAGAAGCCAGGCCTACACTACTGAATTTCTCATCCAGTGATAACCATTATACCAACAGCTGGAAATTAAGAACAAGAATATACAGTTTGGAGGACTAAGAACAGAACTATAGTTTGCTTCTGTATTTGGTACCAATATAATAAATATATAACAAAGGTGCACTTGTTCTAAAAATGAAACATTCTGATTTGGTTATATACTGCATTTTCAGTACTGGACATCACCTAATACTTTTGTTTGTTTTTTTTTTTTTTACAAAAAAGTAACTTATGCAATATCTAATATTAAGAAAACCGATAGTACACACAAACCCGATTGTAGAAAAAGAAAGAAACTAACAAAAAACTAAAATAGTCACTTTCCAGAAAGCCCCTCCTTCGCCTGCACAAACAAGGAAAATAACCATTTCGGTGAGGCCGTTTCAACACCAGAACTGGCTGAACAGCCACGTCGAAGGTGTACAGGTGGGGGCGGGGCAGGGAGCTAACACAGTCGATATTTTTACAATAATTTAAGCATTTTTAATGTATTTATGGTCGGCTAGTGAGGAACATATCTAAAAGTAAATTAAAACGCCTAGTCTTGGAAAAGGGAATGGTTAATTAAGGGATGACAAGAGGAATGACTGGAGAGCGGTACCTGTCATAATCATTTTTCTGGGACTGTCTCTGTGGCCTCTGGTAGTCCTGGTGCTTAATGTAGACGTTTTTTTTTTATAAGATACTATTGCCTGAGCCTGGCTGAGGGTGGGAATGGGGAGAGGAGAGAAGCTGAAGGGAAAGTGAAAGCCTGGGGGTGGGGGGAGGGGAAGGAAGGTAACTGAACCTTAACCTGACAGCTATGTACAAGACACAGGGCCCCCTCCACTCTCTTTGCTCCGGGGTCAATGCCTGTTATATAGTATTTGGTAGCTTGTGCGGTTTCTCCTCCTCATTGTGGGGGGCACAGGGTGGAGAGGAAGGACGCATCCTTCATTGACAATGAGAAATTATGTGATTTGTCATGCGCTTGGATCGTGTTATTAGTATTGTAATTATTATAAATATTAATAATAAAGTATTATTATCAGCGTTATTTCTTCTTCCGAGACTTTCCTTGCCCAATATTTACAAATACCGCACAGTGCCTCGGCGGAGGAGAAACAGTACGGGGAGGGCAGGGAGGGCAGGAAGGAAGGAAGGAAGAGGAAAGAGAGACCAGAGGAAAGTGAAAGGGGAAGGACAGGGGAAAAGCGAGGACGGCAAAGGCGCTGGAAACAAGAAAGGGGAGAGGTGAGGGGCTAGACAATCAGGACAATACCACCGTTTGCAAAAGGCCCTCGCCAGGTGTGTCCAAACAAGAAGAGGATGAGTGTGCTCCTTGCGGACTGGGGGCCGGTGGTGGAGGCGGAGGAGCATAGGGATCTTGGCAGGGAAGGCCAGGGGACAAAGAGGAGGAGGACACTTTGGAGGGGTCGCAGAAAACGGAGTCCTGGGGTTGCCTCTCCAGCCGGGTTTCTTTTACGTGGGTTGGGGCCTGGCCACCGGCCGGGGGCAGGCCCCTGCCACCACGGTTGCCGCTGCAGTGATCCCTCTCGTATTCCTCCTGAGCCCTCTGCATCTTCCGCTTCTTCATCCTACGCTTGTGGATGTGGAAGGTGGAGAGGGACAGCACGATGAGGCAGAAGATGAGGGTGACCAGGACAATCAGCACCAGCGTGGAGGAGAAGGACTGGAAGAGCTGCTGTCCCACCTGCGTAATGCAGGTACCGCCACCGCCTGCGCCCGGGCCCTGGGCACTCGCGCTGCCGCTGGCGTTGGGGGAAGCAAAGGTCCGGTTGAGGAGACACGGCGGCAGTGCCAGCCTCAGCTCCTTGGGCGCCCTGGCACTCATCGGCGCTGGGCTGGGAGGGGCCGGGCCCACCAGACTTCCACTCTTGGGCGCACTGTTCCCACCGGCCAAGAAGAGGACGGAGCCCACGCCACCCAAAACTGCTCCCTGGTGTGGGAGCGTTTGCGCACGAGCGAAGGACTGAGGGAGCCACTGCGGGCAAGCAAGCCGTCAGTGAAAGCGAGCGGTACCCAGGATATCCTCTCCGGACCCGCTCGAACGCCTGTCCGAGCGCCTTTTTCCTTTGCCAAGGCACCAGGCTGCAAAGAGAACAGGCTTAGTTAGGATCCCTGTCGCTGCTCAGGGGAGTGCGGAGGGACAAGAAGGATCCGCGCAACTGCAAAGCAGCCCTCCAGGCACCCGACCTCGGCGGACACTGCCCATCTTCTCCGCAGCCAAAGGACCCCAACCCTCTCGCCCCTGGCCGCTCACCCGAGCCGCCAGCCTGGGCTCGCGCCACTATCTGGGAAGGGGTCTGCGCCGGCACCGAGGAGACGAGGATTACTCAGCAGATAAGGCAGACTCTGCTCCCTCCACAACTTTCTGATTACAACAGACACGCAGTCGCCTGGGAGCGCGGTCCCTGCTTTCCAGAGCGCCGCCTCTGCTCTTTACTGCACCCTCTCAGTGATTGTCTTCACCAGGATCCTACCCTTCCCAGCACCCGCCCCCGGTTGCCCAGCGGCTCTGGGTATGCAGTTCGCCCTTCCTTTCCCTCCACCTCCCGAATCTCCCTTTCCAGACGGCGTCAGATCCCTTAAGTCCCATTTCCAAGGCGGGTCGCTGGCACCACATCCCATTCCGCCTCTATCCACCGCCACCGCTGACGCGCAGGGTCGCGCTCTATCCCTTTTCCATTCTTCTTTCCTGGTACCTCCCCACCACCAAAAAAAGCAGCTGAAGCATCTCTCGGCTAAAGCACATCCTGCAAACGCCCATTCTCCCCATCTCTCTGTGCCCCCTACTTGACAGTATCCTTCTTTCTGGGGGGGTGGGGGCTGGGAGCTGGAAATAAAAGAGGGAGGGTACCCGCCTGCAAAGTTTGGGGAACCGACCTTCTCTCTGGCCTTCCCAGACCCAGCCCGAGGGTCCCGAGACTCTTCCCCGGGACCAGCGCCAGGTAGACCCGCAGCGAGCAGCAGAGCTTTCCTTGCCGCCCTCAAGAGGCGGCTGCAAACTGTTGCACTGCGGAGCAGCGAGGCGGCCCGCGAGCCGGGGCTGGGCCGGGCCAGGGGCCGAAGCTGCAGCCGGGGGTGTCTGCGCAGGCCGCCGGGTCTGCCTACCCACTCATGCCTGGCCACCCTGCCGCCCGGCCGCCCAGAGCCTTTAGCGGCACCGTGCTCTTACCTGGGGCTGCCACTGGCTGTAGGGAGGGAGCCCCGCGGCGCGGCTGCAGTGGCAGCTGCGGAAGGCACGGAGTGAAGGGGCCAGAGACCAAGCCGCGCTGCCGCCGCTACCGCTGCCGCTTTGGGGAGCTGAGCTGGCAGCCTATTGCCAGAGAGGCCGGTGACGTCAGGCAGCCACCGCCAGGGCTCCAAGCCACCCCCTAGGCCCCCACCCCACCCTCATACCCCAACATCTTGTCCTGGCAGAGCCAGCCTCTGCCACACACGTTCTCAGTTTCCTGCCCGGGGGCCGTGAGCAGCCCCCGACTCGCACCCTATGAGCAGCCCACCTTCCAAACTCCTGTATCTAGGAAGGGTTGAAGCTTCAGTTCTCTCTGGCTGCATTATTCCTCACCCTCAGCCCTTCGCACTTGGTCCCAGGAATACATTTTTACACTCTAGAAATCCATCTCTTCTCGGGCCACACATCTGATTTTTCTCCCCCAGCTGCTGAGATTCACCCCTCTCCTCAGTCTCACTGATGTTGGCCTGGTTCTGAACAGAAATTGCGTATGAGAGAGTTGTGAGGGGCATTACCTGAAATACAAACCTGAACATGTATTTAACATCAAATAACCCAAATTAACTCTTTTCCTTTTCACTGGAGTCTCCAACTTATCTTTCACTCCACCTGACCCATGTCCTTCCTCTATTTCTTCACCCGCTCATCTTCCAGCCCAAGACCCACTCAGTGCATGAAACACTCCTATTCAAAAAAGACACTCGTGAGCACACACAGCACACACAAGGCTTACACAGGAGGTACATGAAAAAATCACTCAAAGGAGTGCAGAGGTGAACTGCTCTATGACAATTCTCAGTACTGTGCCTCTTACAGAAATACCTCTTCATTGGCCTTTGCTGTCTTGTAAAGCATTGCCTTAGAACTTCCTGAAAGAGTCGTATCAGCCTGCAGGAATATGGACAAAGACTAATCAACTATTGGGAGTTGATTGGGAGAACATAAAGTGTAGCCTTCAAAATGAACTATTCTCGTTTTTCCAGTGGAGAAGCCAGCTTGAAACAGCACATAAAATCGGTGTAGGGTCTTAGAAGGTACTTGTGTCTTACTAAATGGGCATTTCCTTCTTCCCTCCTGGTCTTGTATTCTTCCTAGAGTTGAGTCTAACACAGTAACTGTGCAATAATTAACTTGCTAATATGTCTTATTCCCATTATGCATCAGAATTGAGAGATAACAGGAATGATTGACTTCCACCTATGTAGTTGTATTTGCAAGCAGAGGGTTTTGCAAGAAAGAGAGTTTGACGTGGGGAGGAAATGTTGTTTGTTTGTGATCTCGGTGGGGGGCCCTCCCTCTGACCCTGTGTTCTATCAGGTCTTACTCCAACTATTCCTTATATAGAGAAATAAATATACTATTGCTAAAAAAAAAATCTGTTCCCATTTATTTGAATGAAGGTCATCAGCTTTTTTTCATAATTGCCTCAATGTTTTTTTTAAAAGTATCCCTATGTAAGTGAATAGTTCAGTATATGCTGAATAATGCATGATTGCTCAGAGCACAAATTGATGTCCTTGGCTGCCAGAGTCACAGTTAATGATAGACAATGACCCCAATGCTGGCTTAGCTTTCCTGCCTGGAATGAGGGCACCTAATGCCCTGCAAAAGCCACCTGCCACATTTAGATGTCCTGGCTTTGATGGACTAAGACATGGAATAGTGAGAGCCTTGTTTTACTGTGATCACAAAGTGAGACTTAACCATTGACATCTGACATACAATATTCCATTTCTGTATGCTCACTTTGCTCCTAAAAAGTTGAGTCTAAACATTTTGTAAAGCAAATCCAATTCTGAATACTTCAAAAAAGGAGCTGGCTATTTAAAGAGACACTTTAGAAAAAAACTGTCTTGTAAAGCAAAGAATCTTTACATAATTGGACTTAACTCTCACTAGTCTGTTTTCTAGACTTGGAAAAATGAGTTACTGGGTTTTCCCAGGGAGAAACATACATGCTTTTACAATACATTGTAATGGGATGACAATATTTATGTAATGGGATTCCTTTTGCAGGCCAGGCTTTTAGGACATGTGATGAGCTTGCCATTATTCTTATTCTTTTGTTATAAATAATAACTGTCTTTTATATGAGGAGTGCTAAAAGTGTCTGCACAATTTGACACAACTTCTTGGTCTTAGAGAACTTGCAGTCTACAGCAGATGAATGTGATCCACAAGACAATGGTGTTTAACTGAAAATGTCTTGAGTAGATTAAAGACATCAATTTTCAGGTCTTAATCCCAGCACACTTTTCTTCTTTTTTCTTTCAAGAAGAAGAGGCTGTAGGTTCATAATTTGTTCTTACTCAGAGAATGAATGTGCTAAATACATAGACTTGGATGTCACTGGGTAGTGCAATTCAAGCCCCAGAAATAGCAGTGACAGCAAGAATTGATCCCACTGAGTTGCTTTATGATTTTGGCACATCTAGCACAATGGCAAGGCCTCTTCCAGACAGCAGATTGTCACTGTTTTTGCCACCAGATTCTCAAGCCATATTTCTAAGAGTGGAGAACCAAGAAGCCTCTGAAATTCCCAGGTTCTTCCCTTGTGATGGGAAAGTCCCTCTGGACTCAAGCACATTCCACATATTCAGTAACATTTAATACTTGCTGTCAAGTTTGATGATCTTTAGCTAGCTTAGAGAGAAGTGCCACGTGGGTACCTGGTACAACAATCCACAAACTCATTGAGTCAACAACAACAATAAATACTGCCATTACTATTATTATTATTATTATTATTTACAAAATACCTATTATGAGCCAGGCTGTACTAAACTTTCTTTATATTGGCACTAATGCTCAACATAACCCTGCAAGGTTATATTTTGCCAAAATACAAAATAATTTATTTATTCATTTATTTACTTATTTGCTCAACAAAAATGTTTAAGTACCTGCTATAGGTCAAGTGAGAAAACTAAAGCTCAGAATAGCTATAGCCTATGCCCAAGTTACTTACCAGTAAGTATATTATTGGGATTAAACCCAAGGAAACTAATTCCAAAATTAGTATTTTTTGAGGACTAATCGTCCCTCTCTCTCTCACACACATACACACATACATCTTTATTTCTATCTCTATTTTGATTTTATCTCTATCTACTTCTGATTGGGGAAGTGTAAACAAATAAAACTAGAGAAAAAAACAGAGCTCTTTGATTCAAGCACAGAAGAGGGAATGGAAGGCCTCTTTGATCAACCCCACCAGTGGTTTATCAGATGCTCCACACACTGATAAAGGACTGAGCAGAGTCCAGCTTAGAAACTTCTTCACTGCATCGGATCACTGAGGCAGGCCATTCCTTACCACAGTGCAGCACGATATATGCCAGGGATTACATTTAGGGGGATTTTGCTAGTGGATATTCAGGTGACCTTAACATTTTGCCTAATCATATCTCAGCTACTCTGGACCCCTTTCTGCACACCTATAGATGTATGCTCTGTAAGTTGTCATGTGGATGTTAAACCAACTACTGGCCCAGCCAGCAAGTAATTAACAAACAAGGTGCTGAATGAAGTGCTTGGCCTTGTTCAAGTTGTCCAGTTTTGTTTTGTTTTTAATAAATACAGGCTTCTCTTCTATAAAGTGAGAATAATAATGAGTGTCTTCTTTGCAGTGTTATTTTAAGCACTGAGCATACAGTAAACATTCAGTAAATGGTTGCTCTTTATGTTGTATTACTAAGATTAATATTTTATCCCTGGCAATAGAGAAAAATATACTGTTTGGACATCAAAATTCAGGAAAATTTTGACAATTTTGAGTGTCCTTTATGGGAATATAACTATAAGGATAAAGGGGCTGAAAACAATGAGAAATAATGAGTAATTCAAGGCACTGGGAATATTAATCCTAGAGATGGAAAGATGTTGGGGATACATCACAGAATCCTCAAATGTTTGGGCCATCATCAGTAAAATGTGAATTTATTCTACTCTAGGTACCCAAGAGAGAACTGAAATGAAGTGGAACAGATATAGTATAGTAAATATATTTCAATTCATGATTGGAAAAACTTGTCTAATCACATAGCAGGTTATCATCTAAACCAGCTGTCTTCATAGTGGAGACTCATATCCCTAGGGACACATTAAGATATTTCCCAAGGAATATATTGATTTGTATAGTTTCAAGTGAGTAATATCCAAAATCCTCAATCTCCATATGTTCTCTTTCTTCAAAATGCATCTGAGGTTAGAATTTACCCTATGTCACCTCTCCTTGCACTGCTCTTACTTTACAAAAGAAAAACCTATGCTCACCAATGCTCAGTCTTACTATCATTGCTCAGCTTGTAAAAATCACTGGAGAACCAAACAAAAGAATACCTTGAAGATGTACAACTCCTGAGGAGCTGACAGCAAAGCAAAAATATTGTAAGAAATACTGATGGGGCAGTGCCTTATTTCATCCAGGTGACAGACTTATCTTAGGCTCTATCCATGTCTATGCCTATATCTATATCTATATCATCATTTATATATCAACTAACCTATTTTTATATTTATATCTATATCTATATATATCAAGTTATCTTAAAATTAGAATTTAGAAGTGAAATGGTCACCACAGGGATACAAGCATCCTAGTTTATTTCAATTGGAAATTGAACCCATACATTTTTTCATAGAAAGTAAGCCTGATTTGTCTATTAGGACCAACAATTTAAACTGCATTTGCTTGATAAAGAGTATGGAAGACATATTATATAAATTTAATGAACTAATCTATCAAACTAATATTTTTACAAAATATATTTAATGTACATATTTGATATGGAATATGCAAGAAATTACATTCTTAGCAACTGTAAGTGATGATTAAAAAGTTTTGTGTCAAATTAAATTGTGCAAAGGGTCCATGATTTTCCAAAACTCTTTTAGGGAGTATTCAAGCAAAAAACCTTAATAGATTTCTATTCCCAAGTGTCCAACTCCTGTGACGTTATCTGAAAAGACTTAAACACAAACTAGACC